AAAAAAGTAAAAAACTTAAAAAATGATAAGGATAAAAAATATTTAAAAATATAATTTTTTAATAAAAGCGTTGGTTTTTTAACAACTTGAAACTATGTAAAACAATATTTTGAAAAAAGTCAATACTTTTATAAATAATGAGTGTTGTTTGATAAACGAATCACCCTGTATATCGTATCAATTATCGTAAATATAGACGTGCCTCGGGCTCGTTATTATTATGTTTTGATTTATGTTTCGAACATTTTATAATGATATATATTATTGTGTCGAATGAACTCGGCCGTTACACCGATCACGACGTTACAGTGCGGTTGTGCGGTTGTGCCGTCAAATCCTAAACTGCATCATACACGGTGAATGGTGACGCAGTTTTGTAGGTAACTATAAATAGTTTGGCTACGAACAAATTGTTGGGTACAAGAACCTATTCCAGGCAGTATCATCCACGCATCATCATGTCTTTGGGCTGAGTTTATGCGATTGGAAATCTTCGTTTATCAGATCGTTTAGGGTAGTGGCGAAACCGCACAGTTGTTTTATGTATGTGACGTTGACGCATAGCGGAACACGTCATGATTTCGGCGGTCCTAATTCGATCACGGCGAAACGGAAAAAAAATATAAAATATAATAATACAAACTAACAATAATCTTATTGTACTATACGCGTATAATATGGCACTTCACTTTCAGATATCATAATGAGTACGCCCGTCATCGTTTATTATTGTATAGCAATCGAAGATTTTTCAAGTTTCGTACATTATTATTGTATATTATATCAGTTTGGATCAGTAATTGAACCGACCTTTTATCACCAAATATCACTTGACATACACTTGCCATTCTAAAAGCTAAATAATTAAGAAGAATTTAGAAAAATTTAAATTAGGACGATTAGGTTTGTATTTGTATAGGCATAGGCTATACATAAAACTAAAACATTTGAAATTAGTAAAAAAAAATATATAAAGTTTTAATTTATTATTGCTTAATTTTTTTTCATTTTTATTTTGTAAATTTGACAGTGGTATTTAAGTTTAGAATAAGAAGGCTCCCAGCGATGTCACTTGACAAGTTTCAGTTAATATTATTATGCTTTTAACAGGTCCCTGCAGGGCCAGAACATCAATATTAAGCAAAATTAATTTTATTTTCACCAGTTGATCACTTTCAATTTCGATTATTTTACTTAATCTTATGCATCATATTATAATCATATCCATTTGTCTAGCTTAATTTTACATAAGGAAAAACTACTATTTAAAAAGTGGATTCCTAAAATGTATTTGGGTTGGGAACAGTTTAATTATTAATAGTGTTATAAATAATAATCTTCTTACATTTTATATTACCTCAGCGCTAGTGGTGATAATTTTCCATTGTCTTGATTATAGTCTTATTTATAAATATTTATACTTTTTTTCTCCGACTGATTGCGTCGATACCCAATGAACAAAATAGCACAATTTATTAATATCGTGTTCAATTAACGCACTACCACTACCGATGAACAGCATATCTTCCACAGTCCATCGACACGAAATCATTGCAATTTAAATTGTACAGTAATAAGTAAAAACCGTTTCCGCGCGGGCACTATAGAGTACCGGTAGCCAGGCTCGTATATTATTATTTTAATTCTCGAGTCCATTTTTGGCGTGTATTGACGGCGGCGTGGGTTAAAGGAAACATTCAAGGTCTTCGATCCAAGTCCAGTGACCGCGCGCTGTTCATTATTCATCATATTGGATTTTATTACTATCATTATTATGTGGAAGAACTGAAGTGATAACTAATTAGCGATTTGATATTTTGATAAGAGATTCGCGATGACGAACATAAAATTATTATTTTCTTGGATTTTGTGGGACTAGGCGCGTTGATAATAATAATATTTTATTATTATTATTATTATTATTGTGATCGACGACACCCGACTGAAGTAGTTTTCACTAATTTCTCAGAGAGCGATCGCATTGTGCGCTGCGCCGGACCGCATATCGAGCGACCGACAGGTTTCTAAAATGACCGCAGGCGTATAAAATTGTATATGAACTGGTATCAATCAAAATGCAATACGGCGAGACTGGGAATTAATTTATGCAGCACTTGTTGAGGGGGACGGTGCCCGGTCGGAATTTAAATAATTCAAGCAGGCGAGTTGGAGCTGATGTTATTTTTCAGACACCGATCTCCGTGTCTAACGAGAAAGAAAAACGTATGCGTGTACAGTTTCGGAGATATATACGGGGATAATACTGTTATTATATACCTACGCGTATGTTTCCAAAAGAAATAATAATATTTTTTAAGACCACACCGCACCACGCGTGAATTCAACGTTTAATCCCTTTAGGTAAATACGAGTATATTACAATACATAGGTGATATAACATCCGTAACGAAGTTTAAAAAACCGTATGAAAACTATTATTTATGAAGCAAAGTAGGTATTTTGTGTATAATTAATTATTGCTTTGAAATAAGGGATAACAACACTAAATAATATATTATGAACATTTTCCACTTTCACAAACACTGTCGCTGCTTCATCTGGTCGGCTGGAGTGTAGTAAATTTTATAAAAATCTCGTTTCACATTTTTATTACTAATATAGTAATATATTATATTCTCTCACTTAATAAAATATGTAATTCTTTAGTGACATAAAAAAAAAACTCGAACGAAAATAAGCAAAGTCATTATTTCTCATTGCTTTCTCGGAGTAACGCGTAAATATATATATATATAATATTATTATTATATTAAATCTTGGATCTTTTAAAAATTTACAGTACCTCGCTATACGATTAGGCCGGGCCTCCAGAAATATTATTATGTTAAATTGTTAGCATTTCGCCTTTGTCTCAAACGCTCCCATGCAATATAAAATATGATAAACCATCTGAGGCGTAGGAAGTTCAACGAGGCTGAAAAAAACTATTGGACACGCATGTGCACGTATGTTGCAAATGGGATTACGTATTGTTATCAAGACAAAAATTAACGATTATACTTTTATGATCAAATAATTGCCAGCTTTAAATTTTTCATCTACTCGTATTTCCAAATCTAATAAAAATTGGATTAGCTTTTTTAAAATTTTTAAAATTTTAAAACTAGATTTATTGCTTAAATAAATATAATAGTACACCTATCAACATAATATTTTGTTTATGAAGTTATTAAAATTGAATAATTAATTATAAAAAATAATTATAATTTGGTGTTTTGTTTATGTATACACACGTTATATGTTCATTCCCCCTTTTTCACAAAATGCATTGCGTAATCTATTTATACTCGAATTATATTTTGATAAATTATTCATAACTTCATAAAATATAATAATATACTTATGAAAAACTTCTAGACACATATTATAATAATACGCTTTATTTCACTTGATCTAAATTATATTCAACTTATTATAATTAAGTACAATTATGCATAATAAATGAATATTTATTTAATAAGTGCCTAGTGGCTAATACATTATTATAGATCTATAATAGCTACGTCGGCGGGTGGCACTTATGAGTGCTCTCCCGTTCTGTTAATTCTTGCTATTATGCATACTTAACTAAAATTACTAATTGTACTTATTATAATCTTTATTAACGAAAATTTGATTCCAATCAACATTTTTTTCTATATAATATAATACAAATGTTTACAGCGATGAGTCTATAATGATAGGTACGAATTTATAATTTACAACAGTTTTAAAATTAAATCAAAAGGTATACACAAAATATAAAGTAATAGATGAAAAACTTAAATAAATAATAAAAACAAAAACAAATCTTAATATTCTATGAAAATAAAATATATATTATATTTATATTATTTATTTATTTTTATATTTTTTTTATGTGTATAGATTACAATTATATTTTTTTCAAATCAAAAATAATCTATACTTTATATATAACATTATATATTAATAATAAAACTATAAAACAATAAGTACTAAGAATACTCAACTTTCTATTTAATTATCATATTTTATTTCCATAACAATAATTTTAAATTCTTATTTATTGGTATGTTAGGTACTTACTATCTAGGTATATCAATATTGTAAATCATTTCTCAATACCGTTTATTAGTTATTGCGCTTAAAAATTTTCGAGGTCACATAATACAATTTTACATAATTTTCATATGATTACCTATATAACTAGTCAGCAAAATAATGGCGAAGTTTTAAATTTTGAATTTACTATAAACTACCATATGGTGAATAATAAATCGTTAATAATTTACATTGATCAGTTAGGAAGCAACTAATATTTACGATTTATTTTGATATTACCTATAGGCTATAACTTAATTGTATACTTGTCATGTTTTGAACGATTTAGTAGGTACGGTAATATTTAGATAGGTTTACGTATCAGGCAAACAAATTGAATAGTATGATTCTTTTATTCAGTATTATTCTCTTAAACGCATTTATTTCTATCATTCTATCGGAAGGTGTATAATTTAAATTAACTTTAATTGTGATTCCTAGTTCACAAATTCACTGCTATTGATATTATGTTTAATTTAATTCAATTGTTTTATTTTACATATTTCCAGTTATTCTGTAGTCGAGCCTTTCAGGCATACTTAATTGTAATATTATAATGAATAATATACCTAACAAAATAAAAATATACCAATTATCAGTAAAATCAGATCGAGGCGTTGATTAACGTTGATCATACGAACACTACGTATTATTAATTTTATAAACGATTATTATTTTAATTGTGCGTGCTTACTTGGCGTACGCTTTTTCCAGCAATCCCGGCCAAAACTGATCGGTATGTGTAGATTGCAAAAACGCCAGCCGGTTGTTAACGGTTGGAAGTCTATCGTCGACCAACACTTCCATCCATTCGCCACACCACCACAAACGAAACCGGAAAACACCGCTGTACTCTTTTTCACTGGAAAGCGACTGGTCGGCCGGCACTACGCGATAAAACAAACCTTTACAAAGGTACAGAACGCCCAGACAAGATACGAGCCATTTATCGCCTGCAATACAAACATAATATTAAAATGTACGATTAGTGTTGACTAACTGTCTAATTTTCAAGACAAGTTATTGTATACAAAAAAAAAAGTAAATAAGTCGTCACATTATGATTATAATTAGTTATAAACAATCGTAGGTAAATTATTACGAAATGATAAAGTATGTTTTACATTATTTTCAATTTTGTAATACAATTCTGCTATTTTTTTTTAAATATAGGTTTCATATTATAATATTATAATAATAAAACATCAAAATATTGAACAAAAAACAAAAATTCCAACTAGGAAAATATAGAAAATCGTTAGAAATTAAAATATTTTTATTAAATTATGTTATTCCCAAAATCGAGTCTCAACTAACTTTAAAAGAACATTAGATTTCGCACGTATAATACAATTTTATTAGCTTATATGTAGGTAGTACAAAATAATTATTTATTTACACTGCATTAAAAAATTAACTAATCGGTTTTCAAACCAAAAAATAAATAAATTTTAATCCTTCCGATTAAAATATCTACCTACGCCTCAGTGCCTCACTATGAGTTTAATTTATTTTAAGGAATAAACCGAATGTTGTTATTAGGTGGTAAATTTTATTGAACATATTATTTTTCAATTTGTGTATTGTTATATGTATAATATTATTACTGGATCCGTTCCACAAGAGCTAACAAACAAAATGTAATAAACCTATTACGTACATATAATATAATATTATATTATTGACATATTTTTTCCGACTATTCGAAGTTTTTGTATAGAGCACCTTTATATTTCGTGGTCTGCTATATACTGTGATGGGTAGGTATAATTTAGTGTTTGTAAAAATAATCTAATTTAAACGGTATCCCGTTTTAAATCGAAAGAACAAGGTTTATATTGTACGCTGATGCTTTATTCAATTTATATATTATAGTTATCGTTTAATCACATTTTTGTTTTTTGTTTTTCCAAACACCATTGCAATTGCAACGTTACAATAAGTTTATTATCTCTCAATCTCTATATGGTTTTGTATTTTACAAAAAAATAACGTCCAGCTGATATTATTACAACATAATTCGAGTGATCGTTCTCGTTGTTTTATAATATTATGATCTAAACTCTAAAGAGTTAGTTGGTAATGGAATTTCACATATTATATGATAATATTATGTTTGTACTTTGGAATAGCATACCTACTTGTAATATTATGATATTATACGTTTGGAAGGCACACGTTAAACGTATCCAAAACATTTTTTGTGTAGCGAAAATAATGCGCGAACAGTAACCGACTAACCGTAGGTACCTACCCACTGTAACGGGGTTGGTCGATCAACTGAAAATATAATGCGCGTTAGTATGCACACGCGGAAAACTCTCCTGATGAATCTTTTGTCAATCTGAAAATATCACAACAAAAGTATAATGTGCTGCAAGCTAATTTGTTCCAGTCTCATGAACACATGGATATAACTCTGGAGACACAGAATACACTGCGATACACTTGACATATTTTGACTGATGTTTAAATTACCACATTTATATTCCTAATATTTAGAAGAAAAAAATGTTTGTTGTGGACAAATAAAAAACTTAGGCTACAACTAAAACGTGCATCTGTCAGCCGGTTATAATAATAATTATTATTTATTGACTTTGGTGATTGCTCTGATGATCTGTTCAAAAATACCATGTTCAACGCGGTTCGAATTTTCACTATCGTCGTAAAATCACCAGAAACATTGTTGGATCTTTTTTACTGATATATTACAGTACGCAAACGTACTCGTTTAGATATGCTGTGCTGACAATAGGTGCAGACTAAACCACAGCGACGAGCATAATAGAACTGTATAATATATAAAATCTGACGCACTACGTTGAATATTATTATAATTACGAAAACCAAAATATATTGTTTACTTTTATCCTCCCACAAGGTCGTGTACACGAATCTTCATCCCGTGGTGTAACGCTATATTTTCGTGTGTTCCAATAATCGTGTATATATTTTTGTATATTATTTTTATGTCCTACAAACGAACAAAAACATACATTGTTCCCGACAAATGCAGATACGCTTGATCAATATCCACGTGTATATAATAATATAATTTTGTTCAGTTCCGTTGTGTTGAAATACTTACTCATCGCTATACAGATAATTTGACATGTCAGAGGATCGGCACACTGACCGTGTTAGGTGGGGGGGGGGGTCTATTATAATATAGGTGCCATTCGGTTAGATTATTCTGTACAATGCCAATCTATTCTAATTAAATTATAAACTAAGTATTGAATTCTATAGTTTTCCCACCTGAAAATAATGTCGAAATAACACCATAAACCATGGTTTAAATTAGCATAATATTAACAGTTAATTTTTAAATGATAAATAATTACAAAAAGTATATTCATAAATCACGACACATTCGTATTTTTCCTTCATAGATAATATTGTAAACACAGAATAAAATAATGTAGTATGACTAGTAGGTTTGTAGATTAAAAGCATTAAGCCGAGTGGAGTAAAATATTATTATTTAAAAATGCATTTACTTAATGATGAATCCAAAAAAATATAATATCCAGAAAATAATTTAATCCATAATCTTATTAGTAGATAGCATATTGTATAATATACAAACTTCCCATATAAAGTACGTAACAAATTTAGTTTCCACTTAATACGTATCCATTATATTAAACGGACTATATATGTTTAAGATTGAAAGTTTATTTATACTTATTATAATTTATTAATAAAATCGTGAAGCAAAACTACATTAAGCTAAAGTTAATACTTTTTATTGGTGTTTAACTATTTGAACGTTTAAAAATATGAAATATTATTCAAACCACTGCAGCAAACAATCATATAAATAAAAACGAATAATGACTTCAACGCGCGTTACTTTGTCTTTGATCAATTTTGAAAATTATTACTATTATATTTAATACCAAACTTGGTATTATAAATCATTATCAATATAAATAGCCTTGATAATAAATATATATCCTGTTCAAATTATTTTTTTATGACATTTTGACGAATTAACCAGAAGACTGTCAGTAGTCATTGAAATCCAAATTTTAGCTTATTTTGTTGCAAAATATTTTTACCAATTCAACAAGACCACACAATACGCACATAGTGACATGTGTACTTATTTTTTTCCTTTCTTTTAACAAACATTATAATAAAGTAGAATTATCGCCAGCTACTACCTTCACAAGGCTGCGACCGTCACGGCGTTCTAAAATCTTATACATTTAGCGTTCTAAAATCCTATAGGTACATTTAGTGTTTACTTATAGATATGTTTTATAGAAAATTGATAAAAACCAGTCCGTAGATGGCAAAGTTTGGTTTTCATAAAAACAAATAAAACATAAATAAAATAAAATATAAATTCATGATCGATAAATGAAAATGTTAATAGGTTGACATTATAATATAAACTGTTCCGATTTAGACATTCGATACTGCAATTTAGTAAAGGTAATCTGGATTGATATAAGCTTCATCAATGCTATTTAATGTGTCACACAACTATAATGCAATTTTTAGTGTATACATATTATGTATATGATATACTGATGAACAAATCAAAATATTCTGAAATAAGTTTAATAAATCATAATTTTTATACAACCCATTTTCATTTATTGTGTACATCGGATAAATTAAAACATATGGCTTTAAGGTTTTAATATTTATATTCATATATATTTATATAAGCTTGTTTATCAACTGGTATTATTAATAGAAAAATAATGTTTTCACATACTATTCTATATATATTTATTTTAACGTTAAGAAATCGGAATACTAAAATATCAAAATTTCATAAAATTATATATTATAAACTTTTAACAAATTTTTATTGAGCTAGGTGTTTAAATTATTTTTAAATTTCTCAAAATGTTAAACAAATTCTTATAGAAAATATATGTTTGAATAATTTTAATTTTATTCAATATTCAAAAGTGCAGTAATTTTGTTAGTGTTTCTTACATTTTTAAAATAACTAGAGCTAATTTTGTATAAATGTTTCTAGTTGAATGTTTCATAATAATATTATTAATGAACTACCTAATTAGTACCTATGCAGCATTTAGGTATAATCTTTCAAGAGCTTTATAAAATATACTAACCTAGGAACTAAATTATTTTACTATAAAAATTATCGTTAAAGATAAAACTTATAAGTATGCGAACATATAAGTTCTTGCAGAATGAAAAAAAATACTTTGAACAACTACGTACACCATAAATTTCAAACTAGGTATGTATGATGTATCTAATTTTTTACAATGATAATAATATAAATTATCGAGTAAATAATTATAAAACTATTATCTAGTAACATTTTTAAAAAGTAGTTTATTACCTATCATCCATCGGACTATTCACAATTTTTTACTTATGTTTAAAATAATATAAATTGTTTCTTATATATAATACATAAAATGTTCATTATAACAAAAAATAAATCTGTTATAATATTGAGTTTAATTAACTAATAAATGTCTGAAGTAAAAAATAAAATGTTAACACGTGATTTAAGTTTTATTTTTATACCCATAAAACGATATAATATAATTGATATGGTTTACTTTGTAGTGCGAAATCGACATACTTTACGCATTTGCTAAAATAATTTGAATTAAGACTAACTGTTTTTCGAAATGACAATTGAAAATTCTACCAAAGTAACATTATATATAAATATATAAATGATAATGATCAACTGATTAATAGTGTTATTTAAAATGGGTAAATAAAATTAAAAAAAGCGTTTGCTATTGGAAATTTTCACGCACACTAAGTATCAGAAATTAGACATGGGCACTCTCTCTGATTTGATTTTACCCTTCTATTACAGACACAGACACAAATCATAGAAGTGAAAGTCAAAAAACATGAGTTTTCAAAAAATAGTACCTAGTAAATAGAGTTGTACAAAAAATTAAAAATACAGAATTTGAGCGGGAGAAAAAATAGTAATTAAAATGAATAAACACTTTAATTTTATTCTTTATTTCCGATTCAATTTTTAACAAAAACTAAATGATAATAAGGATATTTACGACTAATCATCCATTTATAAATTACACTTACCCATTTTTCCTGGACTGATATCAAATTGAGACGTAGAATCACTGACGAAAACCGGTCTATTACAAATCTCCTAAAACAAAAAGGTATAATATTATAATTTATTTGTTGGAGATCTATTTCATTTTTGGTATATAAGCACTGTTAAAATATTATAAAAACAATTTGGCGTTGTGTATATTAAATTGAATGAATATTATATTGAATAGTATTCAAAGTATGGTATAAATAATACCTTTTTTTGGTAAATGATGGATATTAATAAATAAATAATATTATAACAAATACATTTTATCTATTAAGAATGTTTTAGCTTTAATGTTTTAGAAACTTTTAGCTTTAAGATAATGTTTAAGTTTTATATTTTGGCTAGTTAGCTTTTTTTATTTATTATATCATGATATTTTATTAGTTATGTTAATGTTTAATTTTTATAATTTTGTTCTTTTTATATTTTAAATATTGAATATATTTCGAAATGTAATTTTTAATACTCCGATATCCATAGCGCAATGGAGCTCACATGTTCGTAAAAATCCGACCGGTTCTCCAGTTCATTGAAATCGTTTTTAATAATTCAAAATGGACAGTCGTATAGCGATTCAGATGCAGTTTCGTATTTTTCGATCCTCACACACAACGCTATATAAATGTATATATTTATATTATGTACAATGTACGTCATACTCATATATGCCTATATATTATATTATAATACAGATTATATGTATCGTGCGTGTATGTACGTATATATTATACGTCGTTAAATATGTATGCAGTACAGACAGTGTACAGTTTATACATATATGAATGGAATTTGGAAAACAGTAAGAAATAATACCAATACATAAAAATAAAATATGTATGCTACGCTGTCCAATAGACGTTTTCGGCCGAGGGATATCATCTCCCGTTTAAAACATTCACAGCCGGTCGGTTTCACTGGGTGCAACTTACTTATACACACTCGCATAACCTACTTACAATGGTCAGTGGTTCTTCATCGTACGCATGTATATAAATATATACCAAGCAATTGAAACACATATTTATATTTAAACCTATATATCGTACACGTACGATAATATAGTAATATAATATACAATACATTATTATTCTTTATATTCCTGCGAATTGTAATTTATTTTTACTCTTCAATTTATAACCGTTCATCGGTTATCAATGGCCAATGACGAGCAAAACGAATAAAATATTAGGCATTCAGACACCGTGATACGATGAAAAATGTGGTCACCGGGCAGACGTTTTGGTCGTTTATCATCATTGTGTGCTGATGAGAACGAACACTGAGGAGATGTCGCATTTACTGCAGACTCGACAGTCCGAAACTCGTAAATAATTCCGCTTGATGATACAATACACATACGTATTGTTAATACAATAAAAAATGGTAATTGCCCATTCGTTTATTTATTTGTTTCAGTTACATTTCTTCATTGTGCGACGATACATAGTTAAGGAGCCGGAACATGACGAAACATTAATAATGCAAAAATAATTTGCCGGCTTATGCGTGGGATTTTAATATTTTGTGTAATTTTCGAAACATTGTTAAATATTGATACTTTATCGCAGGATTAAACGGTAATCATAAAATTGGTTTTTTTTCATTCGTGTCGGAAAAGAATACTGCATAGGTACTGTTAAAATGAATTCGTTTTATTTATAAGTTATAACTATATTTTGTAATAAAAATACCATAATATTTAAATGAGTGTTTTAGTTGAATTATTCGAGTGAAAAATAACATCTATTACACAGTATAATAAGTGTGGTGTCAAATAAATTTAGCCGGCACAGTTAGGTCACATTTTACAAGCCAACATAGATTAATAATGTATACCATTTTAATTACAACGAATCGCAGTGTCGTCAGTGGTTATTGTTAATTTTTAATGCCTAAATTAGAAAAAAACAAAACAAAATATTGTTGACTCTATAACTTATGTAGAGAACGTACAACTGATTTTATGTTTATTATACGCTAAGATGTTTAGATTTCAAACGTCGCCATCAGTGTCGAACTGATGTGCGTACGAAGTTTGATTAATGTTTAATATACGATTAATAACAATAAAAAGCCGCAAGACGGAGAATTTAACTCGTCGAAATATATTTATTTTGGTTAATTGCTTACGGGGTCAGAGGAGGAAGAGGTTATTAGTCGCATTGTATAAGCAGACGGTGGTGTCGATGAAAATACATTATTAGTCATATATTCGAGAATGCGGCGGCGACGGTGCAACTTGCATGTATAATATTATATTATGCTTGTACACGGGTTACAAGGGCTATTATATTGAGCATGTACCACGGTCGATGTGCACGGTATTATAATGACGCCAACATGTAAGATATAGTAATTAACATTGAATACAAGTCCACGATATAGGCAAAACAATAAATACTATTTTCAATTTTCGCCTCGCGAACAATGGTATTACACCACATTATTATGTAGTCACAGCGAGAGAGCTTTATTATAATAATAATAAAAATAATATTAAAGACCTCTCGCGGTGAGCGACAATAATGTTTGCGACTCTTTAGGTGCAAACTTCGCGTTAGTGTCCTTATACATCGACAAAAAACAAACTAATACGCGGGCAACGCCGTGTCGGGACAGCTAGTAATATATATAATATATTTTATTAGAATAGTACCTGTGCTACATAACACGTGTGTGAGCACGCAGTAGAATTAATATCATGCGATATTAATTCATGCATCCCACCTGTTTTATAATAATAATCGTTCAACGATTCAATAGCAGCCGGTGCATCATTATTGCTTTATTCGAATTGCAATAATTCTCGAGTACAATTCGCGTAAGCAATCTTTTGGCGAACTATGATGGTGTCATAGTATTTTATTGTACATCATAATATAATAACAATGATTGCCTGTCCGCAAGTACACGATTGAACTCGGTCGATGGTGGGTACAGAAAACGAGATCATAATTGTCACAGAAAAAATTGCATAGGTACACCGTTTGAATAGTATAGGTATCGTTGCCTTCGGTTCAAACGGTTTTTGTCTGTTAATTCCTAATAATCTATAGAACGTGCTACCGACGTGACAGTGTTATAATGTATAAACATTTTATTTTAAATGCCTTTCATTGTTATTGAATATATTCTTTAGGGTGATTTGATTTCTGTTATGTATTTGATAATAATTTCGTAAATAGAAATCATGAATTTCGATTGATTATAAAACAATCCGATTAATTAATGTGTTACTTACACGAAAACATTAAAAAATGAACAATTCTTTAGAATGACGGATGATGGATGAACATTTTGAAAAAATGCAATTTCTAATGAGTAAAATGTTACTACGACTAATTTAAAAAACATTAAAGATGATAAAATATATTATGTTATAGAAATTATTGAAATAGAAATATTCTTTTTGTATATGAAAAGTATTTCGATATATTAAAATATTAAACTCACTATAGTCAAAATAGTACTATTCAATAAGTATTTTAAATATATTTTCAGAGCATTCATAACTGCAAGACTGCAGGGTAGGTATAACGCGTAGCTTAGCGAGTATAGTGTATAGTGTATACGGTATATACATTATACATCCTATTATGTATATATATAATGTATAAACGTACCACGCTGTAAGTTTTAACTACACAGAAACACGTCATTCACGTGGCTTATATTACACTGTTATAGTATGTTAAATAACTCAGGCGTCCATTATAATACCTTATTTATCGGGTTTAACGTAATTTTATTTTTTAAAGGTCGATACTCGTTGCATCTTCGTTTCGAACTACTATTTTAATAAGTACCGTGTGGGTGCTCGATCATCCTACTAGTCATCATATTATATACTTATGTGATCGCCCACCACCACCTGTCTACCTTATCGATTAATACGACTTAGTTAAAAACTTCTCTAATAATAAAGCTTCGTAATATCATTAACATGTTACTGACCTTGGGTCTTTTCCACACGAATTGGAATGGTGGCTTTTGGTGGTAAAACACTGACGACTGGGTGGCCGGGAAATCGGGATCCTCCCATAATTCCCCGCGTTTTTGACACATTCTGTGGATTCTGTCGTAATCGCCCATCACGAAGAGTTCTGTAAAACAAAAACATAATTTCATATGATGGTCACCACAAAAATATTTAGGTTTGAAATTAACTGCAGTAAAAATTCTACTCCAGAAGTTTTTATGTGTTATACTCGAGCGCACAAATGCGTTAACGGAATATCTTATTTATTATTTAAATTTATATGAGTTATTAACATGTCTTAAAATAAAACTACCTTTACAAATTAACCCGCAGTATTAAATTTCATAAAAATATTATTTAGCTAATATGAACTAGACAGCAAACAAAATTATTAATTCAAGTTGGTAAAGCTAAAAAAAGAAAATATTTTAGTCAATATAATATAGATAAAATTTTATTTCAAAAACATTAAAAAATAGTAATATAATCATTTATGGTTACTAAATACAATTTCAACATTATATTGTAAACAAATTGATTTTGATATTGTTGTCTATATACAACTTACGACAATTGTTGTAGATCATAAATAATTAAATATGAAAAAAACTTTTAATGATGCTATTCGCACTCGATTATAACACGCGATTGTAATTAAAATAAGTGTAATTAGCTAGAGGGTCAAATCCTCAGACGTCTATGTTGATCGATGTATTTTTTTTGCATACAAAATTAGGTTACGTTCAGGATTTACGGATTCATGGCCCATAACATATTATATTCAGGTGAGTATCAAGAATGCGGTTCATTCGACTGTCCGAATACACCTATATTCGATCCCCAGCCAGCCCCCGGAAGGCATTTTAAGTAAAAGTCAATTTTTGCAGGGAAAGTAGTTAATTGATCGGCTTCATTTTTCTCCATCGACTGCTATATAATAAGCATATATGGTCTGTCATATTTTTATTTATATTCCACGAGCAGCCGGTACGTTGTTCTATAGTTTGACATCACCGACCGGAGTCTAAGGTCAACGTATCGTCCTCCTCCCACGACCTGAGCGACCATAAACATGGTCATCATTTACAGTAATTATTTTCCTCTCTGGTATAAGATTTTTTTTTACTGTTAACATTCATTTGGCACCAAAAATAAAATTATAATACTTAAATAAAATTATAAAATTATCTGCATGATGTGTACCATTATAATTTACCCTTGTATAATATGAAAAAGATATCGAATTAAATGTTTACATTCAAACGTTGTTTTTTTTTATATAGGTCATAAAATATACAAATAATGACGTAATCTATCCATAAGTATAAGCACAACTCAAAGTGAAGCGGCTTGATGGACTTAGTATAACAAAGTAGGTACCAAAAACAATTTTTATAGCTCTTACAAGAATGTGAGATTTTTATGAAAAAAATAAAGCTCTAGTTGTAATCTACGTGGATTACACAAATCAACACGATGTTCTGAAGTCGACGTCAATGACCTCTATAATTCCATTGGTCGAAGTTAAAATCTTTAAACTATAAAATATTTTATTTTTTAATTAAATGTAAAAATATTATTCCAGTAAAATGATTAACACACAATATACAGACTGCATGAAAATTGTAGCGAAAATGACGATGTCCTAAAAACAAGTTTTAAATACACTTATGAGAGTTGCACATAGAACGAAAAATGTACATAAATGATATGACAGTTTAGAATTTAGATGGATGTCATGTTATTGTGACATTGCAAACAAATCATTTTGTACAGAATTTAGAGCAGATTATGTTAAAAATGTTCGTCTTGTAATCGTGTCTTCAAAAATCTGATAAGTACCTTTATGTTATTTTTTTTTAAGAGAGATTTTATAGATATTTTACATGAGCACAACCTATGACATTTCTATTTTAATAATATCATATTCATCTTGTATTTATTTAAGTTGAATTTTGTATTTTTTTCTTTTATTATTAACAAACTTCATTAAGGCGTACACTAACACATTATACGGCTGTAAATTTTTAATATTTTTCCAAATATTGTTGTATAGATACCTAACAGTAAATAAAAGTACCTTCACAGTCTATCACACTATATCGTATAAAACATATCTATGCCATGCGAGTTTAAAAAGAATTTCACGGTTTGTAATGATAATAGTAATATAATACGAACTATACCAGAAATATACAAAGGTTCAATGTCCCATACTCAACAGAATTATATTTTGGATAGGTGTTAGCATGATGTCACCTGTTAACAGTCATTTCATGTTTGTATGCATCCGTGGAACACTGCGAATATAAAGTGTACCTACACTAATGCTGGGGCCAAATACGTGCGGTGAATACACCATTAGTCGAAATTCTTAAGCCTGACTGTGGTATTTTGGCCATATATTATTACAATAGATGTATTAGGTATTTGTTAACACAGCTTAAAAGCAATTTAGTATCTAAAATTTAAATCGTTTACTACTCGCATTGCCAATTTTCGGAACTCGTGCTAAATCAATTTTATAAAAAAAAAAACATGATACAAGTTTTGAATTTAAATTTAAAGAAAACGAAACAGTAAAATCCCACTTATAATAATCTTGTTCATAGTATATAGAGTGAAAATATGTTTTTTTCATATAAATTGTATAATATACTGGCTATATACAAATTTTTACATTTTAACTTGTTGATTCTAGGAAATTTATTTTATAGGTATAACATACATACCTAATATTATTTATATTATTAACTATAGAAATTTAAAATTTCAGATTGTCTGATTGATTTTTATTATTTTATTAATATTTTGGGGGTACTTGGGTAATAATAAATTTGTTTGTATTTATTAAGGTGTTGCAACTATTATCTGTACGTAAATAAACACTTTTGTTACCAATATTTTTGATTGCGTTAAATTTTTATCATTATCATTACATTTTGTAAATGCTTTAATCGATAAATCGGGCTAAGTAATAATTATCATGTTCTTACAATACGTTATTTCGAAATGTAATTGTAAATATAGATATAAACATAGAATGTGGTATTATTATAACACTAGTAATATTACACTGAACGATAAACCTTCTATTTATATTTTCGTAATACAAATATTTTCTTTTAATCATTTTTAATAAGGTATTTTTAAAACATCTTATAAAAAGGCATAAGTACCTAATAAAAAAATAAAAAAAATAAAGTTTGGTTTAATTGAAGGAGATAATAAGTACTTTGATATATTGAAATGACCTGGAAGGCTGGAAACGCAATAGACCAATAATTGTCAAAAATAAAATTGTGTCAATAAAATCGACAACCATGATGATGGGAAGTTATTCATTTTGTTTTTACTTATAAAATATTCATTTCGATTTAAGCAACTACTAATTTAAGTCGAGTTCTTACGTTTTAAAGTTATTATAATACAAATGCTGCATACTATTTTACAATTTTAGTCATAATAATAGAATATAGATTATATTACCTATATGAAAAATTAATGAAAAATGATACAGTTTAAAATGGACATTMATTTTTAACAAAAACTGCTCCTCAAAAAAATTATTTTAAGTGCTTTACTCAGTAATAACATGGAAATATSATGACAAATTATCCTTAAAATGATTTAGAAGTAAATTAATATGAGAATTTAAAAAAAGGTAGTGAAGTTTAAAAATGTTTGTTTTGTAACAAATATGTATTATAATTATAGACTATCTTAAAAGATAAATTTTGTATTTAAATCTTATAGTCAATAACTGCATTACAACTCTACTATGAACTAAGCTAGAGGTAAATAGAGTAATAGTACCTACCTACTTTTAACATGTGCAAATATACTTAGTAATTAGTGGATACCTATATATAGTATTAGATTTCAGAATACTTAACCTATCCTATTATGTTTCTGTGACTCCTATACCTTATTCTAAGTATGTGCATAGTTAGGAATTAATCTTATCTTATACATGTAACAAAAATATAAGTATTTAACTAGAGTGATTTAAATTGGAGCGTATCACATGTATAGGTACTATGCAATTTTTATATTTAGGTATTTAAAAATAATGATACAGGCAGATTCATATTTTCACACATTAGTTAAAATAAAAATAATTTGAGAACTAGAAGTTTTTTCTTTAAACTATTACCTAAAATGTTAGTTCTACACAAAAGCATATTAAGCAATTATATTATTTTGTACTAAATTAGTTTTTTTTTTTTAGTGATAACTAACAATTATTTTGAATTATTATTATTATACTTGTGAGAATCAATTCAGAGTTTTGAAGATGGTTCAGAATCGTACATCTTTAAAAATATAATAAATTATTTCAAAATTTATTTCAATAAATTTTTACATTATTTGTAGAGATTTTTTTAATATTGTTAGCCCTTTCAAAAACAATGAATACATTTTGTTTTCATTTAATATAAAAAATAAGGTCAGCGGAACAATAATTTAAAAAAAATGATTCTATCAATCATGAGAAATGTGGGTAACTACAAAAAACCACAATAGCATACACGAAAACGTACTGTACGGATGGATGGCACTCTGTACCTAGTTTTTGGTCAAGATTAAAACTGTTAAATAGAGATTGCATTATTGCATCCCACGGGCGTACAGATTTACTAACCATTAGTCTCGTGTATGTCTGGTCTAGCCTGTTTTATAATTATTTCTTATGAGCCTCATATATATAATTACCAGTAATATCCCATTACTACAAACATATACCATACACTTGAACAACATTCCAAAATAGTCTACATTATATTTCTATAATAATGATATTATTTAATATGCATCACAACTCATTATAGACGTGAACATAAAAATGTTGGGAAAACTAACTAACGATTTTCCCGACGATATGACGTATTCGTATATTTTATTTTGAATAATGTACAATATTGTCACTGCACAATATACTGTGGTGCCGTGTACAATCCATATCGATTAATAACAATGCAATTGATGAATTGAATCATATTATGTACCTATATAAAAACATTAGAAACTCACGTTTTCAATTCCCAGAACTGTATTGCAATGCACTACACAGAATTCGAATATCATTCGCCAACTATGAACTATACTTATCACGAAGTTACAACTATTATTTGACACTGAACATAAAAAAAAAAAAAAATAACACTACCAGAACAGACTACCGACACACAACCGCACCGCAGGACGAACACCTGTTAACTGACGCTGCGCGGAGGACTGCGCGTGCTTGACCAAGAGAGACCTGTCCTACCGCGCTGCATGCCGATAAGTAGCTCAAGAGATGTCGACGAACCACGAATTAATCAAAATGCAACTACTGAGCCCCCAGTTTAAACAACGCGAGCAACTATACGTACAACTAAACTATTTTTTGAATAGTTCATAAGCTTCGGGCATTTTCAGTATTGCAAGATTATTGAAATAGTCGTTAAAAATTCCAAAAAAATAAAAATAAATTAAGTATGTTATCATTATTCATTGAGAGTTAAAATGTATAGAAAGTAAGTCGTGTACTATTGTAACTACATGGTTATTATAATTATAATGATGCATTGGTGCATACTTGTAAGTACGCATACAAAAATATTCGTAGAAATTAATTATGCCACTGATAATTATTTTGCAATTGTAATAATTTTCGAAATAAATGAAAGGTTTACAGTGACAAATGATATAAAAAATAGCGAACAAATCTTAGATATTATATATAAAAATATGTATTCATGATTGTTGGTACACACTATAAATGATAAAATCACCAAAAAAATAAATGTACTTGTTCGTAATTTCTAAGAAACTGAGGAAGTCGCTCTGTTTTACAAACTAATAAATTGATTTTGATTAACCAATTATGTCCATCTCCATTTTTTCCTATAGGTTTACATACAACCTAAATTACCTACCTAATAATAAATGTATAAAAACTTTTGGAAAAAAAAATCATCTACTAAATTTTAGTACCTACAGACATTATAGTAGAAAAGGGCAGTTTTCATTTGAAAAATATAAGATTGTATAGCCACAGGACATTTCTTAAAAAGTACAAAAAATCTCAATAATTTAAAAATATAATATTTAAGAATATTTAAAAATTCCAAAAATCAGATACTGTCTATAACTGCTGAGTTTGAACTCAAAACATATTAGTGAAATAATGATCGAGATCAAACAACGTGCCACATTCGGCCACTGTATTATTATTGTGTATACAGATTGTAAATATATTTTATAAATATAGAATAACAAAAACAATTATCAAAATGTTTGGTAACACGTTATCTTAGAGCACAACCGAAAATAACTTGCAAAAACAACCATTATGAATTATGATTTATAATAAACAATATTATCTTTTAATCTAATTTACCTATTGCATATTTTCATATCTGAATACTGTACGAAATAATAATATCTTTATTATATTTACTTTTACTTTAAATATTTCGGTTTACAATAGTATATTCCATTGTTGTTCTATATTAAATATTTGTATTTTGGCGAATTTTAAATGATATAATTATACACAGCGTCAAATATTTTATTTTTAATCATACATTAGCGTACATTTTGATTATCTTTTTGTAMATAGTTGTAATATAATTATGTCAACATTGATTAATATTGTAAATGTAATGTTCCAAATATTACATAACTAATTGAAACTAAAATCGACTTCACAGCAGCTACATCATACTTAGACTTGTGCCCAAAATTTGTCTTGACCTAACTCTAAATATGCAGTGGCGTATTTTGTATGTTTTTTGGGGGGTGTCCAGATAATATCGGTATATACCTACTTATTTGTTAATTGGTTGCAATATTTCTCTGACTAGGGTAGGTTAGATTTGAATGCAATGATAGGTATCATTGTATACGAAAAACGATTCTGAACGGAGATGATTTGTCAGTCTAGGATATATTATAGATGATTAAAAATTTTCAAATCTTTGATTTAAAAAGAAAATTTTGTATAAAGTTCTAGCTTAAAATAATTTGCGAATTTTCGTAATTTTTACGTATTTAGTCAATATTTGAACTTCAAATGCTAATGAAAAAAATTGTGCTTACGTATTTTTATAATTTTTTGATTACTATAAGAATAACTTATGAGGAACTTTGTATTCAATTTTCAAGTATTTTGATAGGGCCGAAAAAATTTTATCAATCCTTCAAAAAAATTTTTCAGAAAAATTGAAAATTTCAGTTTTCTATTAATATCTCAAAAAAAGTCAAAATATTTTGAAAATTAAATCATGTAAAGAAAATGTCAATCTAAATAACTGATAAAATTTTCACGTATCTACGACTTATACTTTTTGAATAATAACAAATATTTAAAATCGTTTCAGGATAAATCGTTATCGTAACGCTATTTCGTAAAAATTCAAACGCACCTCAAATTTTTCCTATAATGACGCTTCGAGATTTCTCTATAGCTACCTGAAGGAAAGCTTATTGAAAACTTATTGTTGTATTCTTAATCCTTAGTTATAAACACAAAAAATTTTATGATTTTTCAGCTTCAAAATTACTTGCAAATTTTCGACAGCTTTCGTAAAAATTTGAACTATAAACGCTTATAAAAAAAAATTGTGACTAACGAATTTTAATTTTTTTTAGCTGCAATTAGAACAACTTATAAGGAATCTTGTATTCAATTTTCAATTTTTTTTGGTCGTCCAACATTTTTTTACTGACACTTCAAAAAGAAAAAAAATCGAAAATTTCAGTGGTCTATAAATAACTCAAAAATAGTCAAAACTTTTTGAATCGAAATTAAACTGTATATATATAACACTAACATAAACATTTGGTGAAAATTTCAAATATTTACAGTGATTAGTTTTTGAATTACAACCATATAAAAAAATCAATTTGGTCAAAAACTGGTTTTGCGTAAAAATTCCCGTTTTTCTGTCATTTTTTTTTTTTTGTTTTTCTCGATTTTTTTGAAAACTGTTGGAAAATGTTTACTTTTGACCTGTATAATGCACCAAGGATCTTGAATTTTACAACGGAAACCACCACCAAAGTTTGAAATCGAAGCATTATTTCGACTAGTTATGCTGTACACAGACACACAAAAAAAAAAAAAAGCACACATCATTGTAAAATCAATACATTCATCACTTTGTTCAGAATCTAAAAGAAGATGGAAGAAATAAATCGCATTACGATTTACAACCTCATTATTATAATACCACGGTTGCCGTGTTTCTCGATTAAATTGCAAACATTTTAAAACCAAGGTATATAATATTTTTTTCAACCGGATTCACGGCTACGTCGTGTCGCACGAGGACGTGGTAACTATGGTTACAACTGGTAACCATATTGGTTTAAAAGTTGAGCCGTATTCAATTCTTTGTATCCTCGGTTTTAACTTGGTTATACCACCATACCAAAAGTTAAACGTTTGATTGTAATATGGTTTGATCGATACAACGCTACACACGACGTAGCTGTGAATCCGGCTTAAGGTGTTAACATTTTTCAACCAAGGTAATATAATATTTTTTCCTTTGCAATTTTTTTTTTTTTTGATTTATCTAAAATAGATAAATAAAAATTTAACAACCGTGTTCACGACTCAGCTGATATCATTCATAGATTCATAGCTGACCAGAGAGCACCATATTAATAATTCACTCGGTCGACAATCCTAAAAGATAACGCTATTGCCATCTATCTGTATTGTTTTGAACTGCGTCCGCATTTCACTTTGTAGGTCACTACACAGCGCTGGCAATTAGGTTTTTTTTTAATTTTCAAATTTTTTTCTAGCTTCTGTGCCATTATTTTATTTACAACGATACTAATTTGCAATCACGAGAACTGGTAAAATATAAAAATATATTTTTAGCTCAATGGCGACATTATATTATATTAAAAACATTATGCCTTTTTTAAATAATACCTAACCATTAAGGCATTAACCTAAGAATTAACATTAAATTAATACTGTCAACTTATTAAACTATGATTGTTTGTTATCATATTATGCTAAAGATAAGATACTATGTATTATAATAACAGAGATTCGTTAACTATTTTGGGCCTACATACTATAATTCCTCAACTGTCATAAAAGATGGTTTTAATAAATGGTGTAAAAGATAAAAAATCTGTTCGAAATTGATTTTTGAAACTTAAAATCAAAATTGATCTTAAGCCCTAGTTTGTTTGTGTATGTTTACTTATATTTTATATACTTATCTATCATTTTATTAAATTTTAAATTGTTTTAATCGTTATTTTGTTCTATTCATAATTTCATTTGTTAATAATTTTATGCTATTATAATTGTAATCACATTGTAGCTCTGTGCCTTTTCCACAAGCCAAGCTTAAAGGAGATATTTCATAATTTCACCCTTCAACACTTCTTCATAATATTAAAAAAATTGTTTAAATGAAAAAAAATTTAAATAACATCAACTTTAAGTATTTTTTGGATTTTGTACTTAAATTTCTTGTACACCTGAAATTGATGGTAATCTAGCATAACATACCTTCAACAGACATCTATGGAATATCGAATAGTATATTATTATAATAATATAGAATTTGAAAGCGTAGATCAACAGAAACAATAATTAATGTTTTAAATTTTCATTGAATAATCTTTGAATAAGAAATAAGTAAAAATTAATTTTAATAAAACACACGTTTTATATTTTATTGGATTAATGCAGTTATTATATAGGTAAGTAGTCTAGAACATCAGCAAATTCAAATCTTTATAGTTCAATAAAAATAACTTGATCGCTAAAAAATAAAATAATATGCAAATTCGTGAGATTTTTAAGACTATAACTATAATATGCTAACTCATGAACTAGTTATGACTAGTTATGAATATTAAAAACGTTGAAACCTATGCACTGGCGCACGCAGGATTTTTCGATGGGGGGGGGGGCTTAAAAATAAAAATACATTCGGTTGTCTCAAGATAAGGTTTGATAAATGAAGTAGATACTTTTTTAATCGAATAATAGCTATTAGTAGTATAGTATTAGTTCAACTTATAGAAATAGAAAAAAAATCATAAAAATATTTAGTCCCTTTGGTGAGGATTATGCAAATTGTCGTAGAACTTAGATATTTTCTAAAGCTATAATCCATTAAGAATTTCCTCTGTCATTGTTGATCTTAAGTACGAATTTATGACGCTAATTACTATAC